TGGTGATAGTGGTCTCTTCAAACTCTCACATACACCATAGCTTTACATTGTCAATATCCAGAGAGCACGTTTTAGCTCATAACCGCCCGACGTCAAAGTTTAGTCCAATGATTCATGTTATTGAAATTTATGTTCCGTGAGTCACGTTCTTCTCAGGCAGTAGACTGGATATCCTGGTTTGGAATCCACTCAAAGCCACGAAAGGCCCTCGAACTCTGATTTAAATCTGCATAAATGCTAAGCGATCATAATCATAGCGAAAGCACCATGTCGAGAAATCTGCTTCTGTTGAAGGTTTCATACAAAGCTTTAGAAACAAGATAAAACGTAATCTGACTTCATTTTGGTTTACGAAATTGGCTGGGAGATGGAAAAGTCTTGCCTCTTTTTATTCACGGTGGGTACAAAATTCAATATAAGCACCATGTCCAGTCAAACACGTCTTCTTTTGGTATATCTCATCATGGCATTTAAAAATATGTCTTGATCATTCCCTGGAATAAAGCGAGTAGAGGTTCCATGGTCTTTTGGATAAATCAACGGTCTATGGATTTGATGGTTTGTGTTTCGAATCCCAGTCGTGACACTAATGGTGTCATTTGGCAAGACAATAATCTACATTGTCACTCTCCACCCAGGTGTGGAAAATGGGCTCCAAGTTCTTAGGAAGAAACTACTTGAACGGCTTTCAGTGCCTTAGGACAGTTTGGCTGAAGCCAGGTTAATGGTATTCATTGAGTTCATCACATAATACGTATTTCAAAAACAACATAGGCCTAATGTTTTTAAAAAAAGGGGGGAATGTTTAATTTGATGAGAGCAATTTGCAAGACGAAATTTGTTAAAGGCACATGTAACTCAAGTAGATTTCCGTGGTCTGTCGACAATGATTAGAATTATGGCTGATTTTGAAAGGAGAGAACAATGTCAGTTGTTTTCATAATCCTCTTTTTCATGTACACTTACTCATACTCCATAATTTTTATGATTGTAAAGTATTACGCATATAAACAAAGTGAAGGCATACAAACCATGGCAGCGGAACAGACCTCTAGATTGAATTATACACTACTTACCATAAAGTTGAAACAAATTAATCTCTTTTCATTAAATAATTGTGATAATTCGATTTATTCTTGATAGATAAAGTCGATATCTTCCCAGAGCCTGATTTAACAATCTAAAGAGTCATAGAGATTGATCTGAAAGATTATGATAAGGCAATTAGGCAATTATAAACTGTATCCATCACGATTCATTTATATCGTCACAATCATTTCATGAAATCATTTAAAGTCTATGGGCAACATTGTACATAAACGAGCTCCAGTAGAAACAGGCCTGCCTAGCCGTCTCAAAAGACATAACTAAGATTCATGTTCTTAATGTAAAAAGGAAACGACCGATTACTGGGGGCTATAATGTTAGTTCCCTTCAAAGCAGCTTGCCTAATTAAACCAACATTGATTATGTTCCTTACTAGAAGAGATGTATTTCAGAAAGAAAGAAAGAAAGAAAAGGAGAGAAAAGACCACCCAAAAAGACAAAAATCAAACGATGGGAAAAGAGTTGGAAAGAAATGTTCATCCCACGACAATTGTGTAAACATAATTATATAAATCACAGTTTTGTGCACCAATCACGACCCAGACGATTAAATCTCCCATCTGCATTAGCATTATCAATGAACTCAAACTCAGACTTTAATTTATTAATATAAAATTGCAATCGAATTAGACAACAGATGTGCTTCGAGAATAGAATTTGACTTTAACCAATCTATTGTTTTCTTCCATCTATTTTGTTTTAATTACACACAAAATAATGTGTGGTTGTCAAGCGTCCGTACACAGCTATATTTTGACTACAGCTATATGCGTAAGGAAACGGACAACACCCTTTACATTTTGATAAGCTCGCGTCTATAGTGTCTGGCAAATGTTCAAATATGAGGTTCGAAGATTATGGAGAATGCAATCATTACAAAAGAGAATGTGCCAAAGATACTTTTAAATATACACTTTCCAACATCAGCTGCTTAATTGGTCCCAAAACAGGTAATTATTCTTCAATTTTTAGAAATGTGATATTCTATTTATTACAGTCTACAGAAGACTATGGGTTATTTCATATATGGATTAATATTGAATATTAGAGAAAATTTGTCTTCTCTAATTGAAAAAGTGAATGATTACTGGAGATGGATTATAAGAAATTGCAATCTTAAAGGTAAAGACCAGTATTGGAAACGCCCCAATTTCAAAAAATGAAATGGAAGCTCTTATTACCAATCATGTGAAAGAATATGATGATACAAATTTTGCCGGGAAACCGCCTACTATTTGATATATTTGCTAAATTAGTTTATCTATTGGTGTGTGAGAGATAAACGCACGTGTGCGTAGTCCCATATACATCTTTCTGTGTACAGTACTTGTAACTTTACGAAGACTGGGCCAAATTTCTCATCATTTTGATGATTCCAGAACCTTGCAGTATACACACCAATACCTATATGCTAGATGATCAACCTTTTCTGATCGATTCCACGTTTCTTTCACAATGCAATCGCATGACCATAACTGGTCTTTATCTTTAATCTCTTTTGCGAAGCGAAGTTCATGATATTGCCTAAAGTAGAGTTGTCAGACTAGAAACTAATATTGGAGAGAAATTCCGGATGAGGAAAAGGCGTATTCTCTTTAAAGTGTTTAAGGCATGCCCGAAATTTGTTATTAATTTGTTCTTAATGAGCAAAAGTACGTCATTAAAGCTATCTTTCGGTTATTGAACGATTCAGATGTACAATTACCGATATTACTATTTATTTGATATAGAGTTATGTGTTAGATCGAAACAGATGGGGATAGCAGTTTACAGGCCTCTTCTCATAAATGTTACTCTTGATGCCCCAAATGCTTCATAAATATAAAAGCCAAAAATAACTACATTTTATTGGTGCCAAGGTGTTCATAGCATTATAGTAGAATTTAGATATGAATATGAAACAACAGACTCCTGTTTTTTGTTTGCGTCATGACCTTGAAAGTTATTGTATCATTGTATAAAGTTATCACTCACTCAAAAAAAACCTTGAAATTGACAGACAATACAACATAAAACAGACATACATCATGGACAGAGAGAGAGAGAGAGAGAGAGAGCGAGAGAGAGGAGAGGGGGGGGGGGGTCGGTATGGATCAAAATTGGTAGAGAGGATGAGAGGGGTGGTGGCAGAGTGAATATAAATATCTGAAAAGGAAATAAAGTAATCTTTTGAAATCATGAAGGAGAAGAGGAAAAACAGAGAGAGAGATAGAGATAGACAGAAGGTAATAGCGAAAGTGATAGGGAAGAGGAGAAGACAGAGAGAGAGAGAGAGAGAGAGAGAGAGAGGAGGGGAGGGAGGGGGCGTGTCATTATGCAAAGATGAATAAACCTATCCATACAACATGAGCCAACAGAAAGAAAATTGAATATCTAATTACTCGCATGTCTGCTATCATCATTATGATATTCCAAAGATGTATTGTACTGTTTTAATCGATACTGTCGATGGCCCCATGAATTCAACAGACGATCAACAGACGGGGAAACGATAAATTATTATTAATACTTCGCCGGAAGATGAGATGGCAATTAAAGACAATTCATGAATTAGCGCATCGTCAAAAGGGCTTTATGCGACAAACATTTGCGACCAAAAAATGAATAGTCATAATCCTTCTCAAGAAGAAAAGCAAAATACGAAGAAAGTAATACTTTCTCCATACGCACCATCACGAGGTTCTAATGCTACCGAAATTATGCACAAAATAATGAATACACAGACAAACACGTAGGATTATCCCACCTTACAGGTGTCAGATCATACGTGCCAGATTATATTCTTAATTACGTTAATTAAGATATGAGTCTGCATATTGCTTGTGCGGCCTCATAGTCCGTTATTACTCATCAGTCAGTATTGTCTTTGACTAGTCTACCAATTGAATTATAAAGGTATACGTGTATGAATTACTAAACCACTGAAAAAGATGAAAATCAGTTAATGGAAAGAGTTAAGAGTCAAAGTATGCGTGCCTTCATAGATGCGAGGGTGTGTATGCGACGTGTGATAATTTCACAGTACTGTTATTAATATTGCTTGAATTAACAAGTACATTTAGGATAGCACACTTACGAATGTATGTAGGAAGAAAATATACCATCTAACTATAGTTTGTTGCTCTTGAATCACTTATCTTACATTTGGGGCCTTAAAATCAGACTTTGTGTACCTGGGACACAATTTCCTCATTCCCATAATCTATCACTGTATTTTTATACCGAAATAAAAACTTAGTGTGCTGCTACTACCCAAGAAAATAGTTTAAAGCAGTCCTCTTGACTGTCTAGTTTAAATGATTCTTTGGGCGATTTAGGAGCAACTTCAGGGCCCATGTGGTATTCTGTTGGCCTTAACCTAAACTATTTTTCATTATATTATTCATAGTGGGTCTACAACGCCAAAAGAACATTTTCAGCCAAACATTTGTTTTGAAATACATTTAAAAAACTAGTGGGCCCCTATAACATAAAAATTGGGCACCGTTTTTCAAAAATCATTCGGTGGCATCGTTTTTAGCATTAATTTTTACTCAGAAATCCGCATTAAAAAAAAGAAGATGATACAACCCCTCCCCACTATGACTTTTTTTTCACCAACCTGATTTCCCGGTGAACCCCCCCCCCTCCCCCTCCGTGACACCAGGGCACCCGTCCCATGGGATAGCCACGCTACGCTATTGCCCCCTTTCCGTCTTGAATTTGAATAGCAAGCAAAAATTGGTGCTTGTGATTTTTTTTTTAAATAGGCATAGTCTAACAATAATGTATTTGGAATTCACTGTGTACCGACTTGACAGGAGTGCCTAAAAAAAAAGACATAGAACAAAACAGACAAACAAACGGACAAATAAACAAATAACAGCACTAATCATTAGCAATGGTATGCTTACCCTTCTAACTTTTGGGTCGCCATTCAAGGTAGTTATGTAACATATCGGCGAGTCCTCCGACGGAGCGATCAGAATAGTCACTCTGGCCGAAGCCAGGACGTTGAACCTGCCGATGCCGTCGGCATAGCCACACTGGTATGTCCCGTCGTCGGCGAGCACGACGTTGGATATCTGCAACGTGAAGACGTCCTGCGCACGATCACCGGTGATGGAGTAGCGACGTCGCCGATCGGCCGGGACCCGGGTGTAAATCGTACGATCGTGGCTCAGGTATTCGTTGGTCTCGGGTCGATACCAGTAGACCGTGATCCCGGCCTTCTGGTCGACGTCGCAAACGAGTGTCACCGAAGCTCCTGGTCGAACTAGGGCCGTTCGAGGTCCCTGACGAAGATTGATGGCATTCGTCCTCGAAATCGTGAACGAAATCAAAACCAACAACGACGCGACAATGTGAAGCTTCATCTTTATCCCGTCAGTGATATAAGCAGATTGTAAAATCCCCAGTAAAATCCCTCTAAATATCCACGTCGACGATTTTAGTCAATAATATCTTCGCTGGGATAACGTCGAAACTATCTCACAGAGATCAATATCACAAACTTCAAAAGCGATGCATTTGAAACAAACAAATCGGAATTATCTCTTTCGAAAAATGAGTGTATTCCCAGACTCAATCCGTGTCAACTTTTGTTAAACGATTTCACTGTGAATCTGACGCTTATACTGCAATTTTATCTACAATCATATAAGTCTCCTACTCCTGAGTCCTGGATTCATGCTCTCTGACACTGTACTGACCGAAGATCTTCAGACGTAAGTTCATTCACCACTTACTCCTGTTCTGTCTCAGCCAGAAAGTAAATCCCAGCTTAGTACCAAAGTGTCAGGTCCCTCCCCTTCGTTCTCCTTTACCCCTTGATTACTCAGCGCTGGAGCTCCGGTACCTGGTCGACTGAGATAGAACGTTATTCTCACTCACTCCGCTCAGCTCAGTGGGTGCTCGATCTACCATCCACAGGCAGCTGACGTCACGTCACGTGATCGTAACTGCTGAAACTTTATTAGTCGTCGCAGCAGACGTTTTGTGGTTAATGGTCCATTTTATGTGACACATCTGTCATGAATTATTGTTGTTGTAGAACTGTCAAACAAATTTCCGTTGGAGGCACAAGATACATATTTTTAATGGATCAAATTAAGTCAAATTTTGGTTCGTTAGTGTCTTTAAAGAATACTGAATTAGAATGCAGAATGGAAATTAAATTTGGAATGGCAGGATAAATTTAGAAGTTAGAAGATTCAAAATAGGAATTAAAAATCATTGCATATTATACAAAGGTAAGTGAAGTAATGTATAGTAGTATTAAAGAGTAGCAGAGAACTTTATACCTCCTTCATAAACAAATGGGTCATTTTATATGTCCTGTAGTCCAAGTTATGAAGACAAAACCTTCTTTTTGCAGACATATTAAGATATATATTCTCACCAGAAATAAATCAACTCGCAAAGTTAAACAACTGTGTATTTTTACTTCCTGGTTAACATGCATGCCATGATCAGGACCGCAATCGGTTTGCCACACAAAAGACTCAAAATGAATGATCTTTTTGTATTTCCAATGCGGATTGATCTGTATAGAGTATAGACGTATCTTGGCAGTTTGCATGATGTTGTACTCTGAAGTATATAAAACGATCTGCACTATCAGACTACATCGGTAGACGAGACACCACGATGAGATGAAGTGAGACGGAACGAGGAAAAAGGAAAAAGAGATAAGTTGTTTGTTTCGACCTTTGACCTGCCTGTATTGTCTTCTTCTTCTCTACCAGCATGACTCATCGTATGACGTCATGAAGTGAAAGTTCTTAAATGATGTAGTTATGAATAAAATTCCTCACGCATAAAAATAGGTTATTTTGTCCTTGTTGTACTTCTTTCCTTCTAACGAAAAATGGAGAAGGCGCCTAATTCATTTACGGCGAGGTTCTTTTTTCGTTTTTTCCTCTCTCTCTATTTAGTTTAAACGTGTGGTCAAGCTCCTATTAGAATAGGACTAAAGAGACTTGATGAAAGCTACTTCTACTGGGTAATTAGTCTGAAGCTCCTTGTAAGAATAAATAAGTCCTGCGTCCAAGAAAATCAAAGAATAACATTAGAAAAGGACAAACTAAAACTGTTCGTCTTGCACTCATCAGAGTAAATCGCATGACCGCATGTATTAACGCTTCAGTATATCCATCTCATCATCTGCAATGGTATTGTTCGATGACTCACAAATTACTTACACTGCTTGGAGACTAGATAAAGAACAGCAACATCGAGAAAACACTTAAGGGCGTCGAGAATAAAATGTACTGCAAAATTCATGAGAATATAAGATTAAAGGAATAGGATTAGAAAAGTACAATTTATCAGGGATATTCATCAGTGAAACCGTTATCGCAAGAGTAAACATTTAAATTAATTGTTCACGTGATTTTGTTTAAAGCCTATCTGCACTAGTTTAGCCAGGAGGGATTAGCCAATCCTGCATGGTCACTGACAGGTGGTTTTCCCATCAAATCAGCTCTCAATTAGCGTAAGAAAAAGAGGACCATGGGTAATCAACGGGTACCACTTAGACATTGTTGGCTATATAGAGGGCGCATGTAGCTTTTATTAGTGTAGCCCCGCTTTAAAGATTGAATACATGTAGGGTACAAATTCTTCATCCCACTACATCATTAAGACGATCCCTCAGGAACCCAGAAACTGAATCTAAGACATCGCGTCCCGCAGCGCAGAGGACTAGTGTTACACCGAGTAGGTCCCTCCCCATCTTTTATAAAGTCATACGGCATTCTCTCGCGCCTACGTCTTAGGATATTTTCCATTTTTCTCGTTTTGTTTGCTGGTAAAAATAACGCAATGTCAAGGGAGAGACATCGAGCCAAACCTTATACTGATCTCCAGCACTGACCCGAATAGCTCAAGGATTAGTCATGCTTTATAGTTCAATCTTATTTTATTTCACGCATGCCACCAGTAAAGGTTTAGGATGATTTTTATAACAAGCGGAACTGCGGAAGACATAATTTAAGATTATTTAAAACTTAGGTTTTCGATGATCTGTCAGGAAAACGCATGTAAATAGGCAATTTTGTGATTATGCATTGACACAATGAGCGAATGACTTCGTGGGATCGAAAATCCCATTGGCCGATATTTTGCTGGACAAATAGGTGTACTGGTAATTTGTTTTCTTTTTATTTGTCCTCTTTCGAGGGACTTTATTTGTTCATATCATAAAATAACTGTTATCTATACAACAATGTTGATATACAGAATACATGCAATTGTAACATATGGCATAAAGTACAAAACATGAAACTAATGTCTTTTTAGCTGCTAAGTGAAATAAAATATAATCAATTGAAGTCAGTTTCATCCATTGAAACAAAAATAAATTCTGAGTTCAGAATGTGACCCACTTTCAGGATACTATTTTAACCGTCCGTAATGTCATTTGTGATAAATGTTTGTACCACCTGTGTCACCTATAAAGAGTTGCCCCATACATGATGGACAGGTAGGTTAGACCACGTCATCTTGATTTACATTGACTGCTTTCGTCAGGTGGTCATCTTTAAAGGTACGCCTGAGCATCAAGAGGCAATCGCAAAAGCTTTCAAGAAATCAACCCAAGTACACTTTTAATACCCTGTTGTATATTGCCTTCATGTTCGGATAACGTAATGTGTCATTTTACGTTTTCCCTATATTTCTAAATGTAAAAAACATGTTTTCTTCTGTTTTTCTCTTCTTCCAATTTACCAAAAAAGGATATGATTGGTCCAAGATTCGTTCCTTCGATGTTTTCTTCGATTGCGAAATAATATCATCGTACATGTTTGCCAAATACCCTTTACAAGTTCTTCGTGTTTCCTGAATCAAATAAACATTACTTTTTTCTTCAAATTTGTATTGTCTTAAAAAAAAGAGATTATTAACCAAGGACTCGTTTCTTTTATGTTTTCTTTGATTGCGAAAAAATATACCAGATTGCCAAATATCCTTTTCCAGGTCTTCGTGTTGTGTCTTTGGTTTCCTTCCTAATATAAGAAGGTATGACTACACGTTTCCTGCATCAAATAAACATGATTTTTTTTCTTCTTCAATTTGTATTGTCTTCAAAAAAATTATTGGCCAAGGATTCGTTTCTTTTATGTTTTCTTTGATTGCGAAATAATATCATCGTACCGGTTTACCAAATATCATTTACAAGTTCTTCGTGTTTGTCTTTGGTTTCCTTCCTGATATAGGAAGATATGACTATACGTTTCCTTTATCAAATAATCATGAATTGATTTGCTTTTCAATTGTTATTGTCTTCGAGTTAGCTCTAGGTGAATGCCCTTTTTACTTTAGGAATATCAAAGTGCTCTTCTTCATTACTAGAGCTTTTTGGATGCACAATTACCAGTCAACATCATAATATGTACGGGATTTCGGTACATAAAAGTTGCATTCGATTGCATAATACAATGTCAACCAATCAGAATCAAGCGCAATGCAGTTTACTGTGATGCGATGAATCCTGATTGGTCAATTGTTTCGATCGCTAGAATTGTCTATCTATAAACTGAAAATGTATGCAACGGATTTCGTTCTAAATCCATTTTTAAGTTATTAGTAAATTTCGAATATTTTGTTCCCACAGCTTCAGAATTAATTATTGAAATTGATTGTTGTTATCTTAAAATTACTCTTTTTGATTTAAGTTAAAGAAAATTAAATACTCATGCTTATAAAACTTCTTTTAAAGGCATTCATGCCCTAAAATAATCATAAAAAGGTGCAAGGTTACAATCTAGATGAAAACAAAATCAGTTTGGGACTTTTCTTGCGATCAACAGGTGGTTTTTTATGTTTTAAAATCTATCAGGACGAAATCAAAATCATTTTGAAATGAACAGGTGTTTCTGAGCTTTAAAAGTATGAAATCGATTTTGTTTTGGGTCTGTGTAACTGAAGAGGAATCTCTACGCTTTTTAAAGGATACAAAATAATTATCAAAAATGGAAATAATATTTTTAGCTGGTGCCTTTAAAGTGAACCTATAGCGTGTCGTACTCGGACGTGATAAATTTCCTTAATGAGCCTGTTGCAGCTTCTCACCTGCCGGAACCAAAACAAATTACTCTTTTCGTCACCAAGCTCAACTCAAGTGCTCAAAGAAAAATAAATTAAAATACTTCCAAAAACACCGTTAATGTAATCACTCGGATTTGTTTAAAATCAACCTGGATTATTCACTTTTCACCTGACGTTGTAAGACTATGACCGTGTTGGTATTAGGTCTAATCCGGAGGAAGTATATATATCTGTAAATGAAAATCGGAAACGGAGTTTATCTTGATGTTGTGAGATCATCTTTGAATATAGGATATGCTCAAATAGAAGGAGAGAGGGAAAGAGAAAGAGAGAAAGAGAGATAGAGAGAGACTGAGAGAGAGAGAGAGAGAGAGAGAGAGAGAGACTGAGAGACTGAGAGAGAGAGAGAGAGAGAGAGAGAGAGAGAGAGGGGAGCGAAAGAGAGAGAGAGAGAGAGAGGGAGAGAGAGACAGAGAGAGACAGAATAGAAGAGATAAAGAGAGAGGAGGGGGTAGGGATAGATATGTAAAGGGGTATGTATATTACGAAACGAATTACTTCTATGATCTACGACAATGTTTCGATACATATAACAAATTGGATTATTATCATAGCTATTTTGGAATAAGCATAGAGTTCCCAATATCTTAGTCACACCGAATCTAACCTGACCACTTTGTTGGCCATTCGTGGTCATGTAATTTGTTGTCCGATCTGTTGTTGGTCTGATGTCGACTTCGTTAATATGAATGAGGTATAAAAGTGAGAAAGGGAGAAAGTGAGCGTGGTGGAGGGGGTAGGAGGGGGGGGGGGGGAGTAAAACAGAAATTGTTGAGAGAGC